CTTGATACAGCAATGGGTATGCTATCGCATGCCGGTTTATGGACCGAAAGGTCTGGGTGGCCACTGCTCCAAGGATGTACCAACTGTGCACCGGCTTGTGGACCTTCGAGGTTTGGGTAGCCATTACTGCTCCAGGGATGTACCAACTGTGCTTAGGTGGGATCCTCCAGTTCTTGTTTATTTTTGTTTTGGCTATAATCTTTGTGGGATAACTAACCATCAAAATGGACCAAATTGCATTTGACCTGAAAATTTTTGATCCCCCTGATTCTGTCAGTTTTTTCCTGTATGGATGTGAAGCTTGGACAATGATCAAAGAACCACAGAGAGGAAAATAAATTCTTTTGAACATCTGGTGTGATAGGTCTTAAGATCCCAAATGGAAAGATAAAATGACAAACAGAGAAATTTGGAGAAAGTGAATTAGAGAGTTAGGTCTTTTAAATGAAGTAAACAATACAGCTGAGAGATCTGATGACCTCTGAATATGTCCTGTTGTTAATTGAGATGGTCTCAGAATGGGCTGGTGTCGTAAGAATGGATTTAGAAAGTTTTACATCTGATAATAAGGGACAATTTGGATTATAGATTATAAATACAAGGTAATATGACCAAATCCAAATAAATAAATAGTGGGAATCGAACCCACAATGTTCCGCTTACCGGGCAGATGTCATGTCCACTAGGCTACCCTGGAAATGAATATAGACAATAAATAAATAGTGTTTGACGTTTCGTTAACAGCGTTATTACCAAAATGTCACATACTATTTATTTATTTGGATTTGGTCTTATTACCTTGTATTTTATACATGATGAAATGATGTGAGAAAGTGTTGATTGGAATGGTCTCAGAATATCTTGTTGTTGTAGGAATGGTTTTAGAAAGTTTTACATCTGATGATAGAGTCTTCTTCTTCTTTCTTATCTCCAATCAATCATATTAGGGTATCAAGTTGATGGTGTCTGTTTGACAACCATCATGACTGGGTGAAGTAGAATGTGTCTGCCTTTGTCATTAAGACTGGAGCACTACTCAGTGGCAGGCCGACTTAGCTCCAAAAGAAATGGCCGCCTCTGACATGAGGAACAGACACCATGTGCAGCTGCTCCTAACATGGAGTACAAATGCTGCTCATCCTGTATCCCTGGATCAGGAGCCCTTACAGGGTACTATTAGCCGGGCCAGCTGAACCCAGGTTTTTTGAGTTTGTTACTGCTCCCCCTCCTCCTTTTTAGTGATATCAGAATGTCCTGTTGTTGATATGAGGTTGGACCCAAAGTGCTAGAGTGTTGTGATGAGATGGTGTAAGCCAAGTATAGATTACCTTAGAGGACGTGGAGGGCAGTACGCCCCCAAGTGGGATGATGGCACTGATGGAGAACTGGGACTCGATGGTGGACACCTGACTCTGAATGGTATCCACCTCCTCAGCCGTCATCTCCGGACCCCAGAGCTCCTCATCATCCAACTCCAGCCGAGGACGCTTGTTCTGGTGTTGGTCCTCCACTCTGCTCAACTGCACCACATCCTCTTGATACTTAGCAGATCTGGATGAAACTAGGGACACGTCAATAGAGGGTTTGGGGAGGAATAGTACGCATTGCCTATTCTCAAAAACCACAACCTGATATCTAATTCCACAAATTCCAAGTTCAATGGGCCCTGAGATTCTTGTACAAGTTTAATCCACCAGCAAGTACAAGTAACCAAGCAGGGCTTTGGCATTTTGGTAAAGTGCAAAAGTTGGAATGCTTTCTTCATGTATGTTATAATAAATATTATTTTGAAATAGAGATTAATTGCTGGTTCTTTTGAGTACATGAGTACTTAATGGTATCGTTTGTAGTCGTGTCATCTTAAAAGAAAAGCAGGAGAATAATTATTTACTATTTTATTTTAAACAAGTAGTTTTTATTTTAAATTACTTGAAGAAAAATTACAATAAGACATTTTTCACAGTTATATAGAATTTATTTCATAAATTCTATATTAGTGATTTTTCAAAAATAGGTTAGATAACTACCTATTTACAACAAGTATTAAAAGTCGTCATATTCTAAAACTATGGTCAAAAAACAAGTAGAATCAATGAATCAAATGAATGAAATCAATGAATGAAAATAAAATATATATTTTTTAAATCACAGAATATTTTTATATTTAGATTATATAATATGTATATATACACTCATGGACAAAACTTAAGGAAGAGCAAAATCTTTAATGACATCGGTTATAACATACACATACAACCGGTTATAGTTTATAACATTTTTCAGTAACAGTATTGTTTTAAAAAATGTCACACACTATTTATTTATTTGGATTTGGTCTTATTACCTTGTGTTTATAATCTATAATCCAAATTGTATCTTATCAGATTTATAACTGAAGTAACTCCGCCCTTGCCGGTCCCAAGCCCGGATGAAAAAGGAGGAGGGGGAGCAGTAACAAGCTCACTAAAAAACCTGGGCTCAGCTGGCCCGGCTGATAGTACCCCTGTTAGGGCTTCTAATCCAGGGATACAGGATGAGCAGCGTTTGTACTCCATGTTAGGAGTGGCTGCACATAGCGTCTGTTCCTCATGTTAGAGGCGGCCATTTATTTTGGAGCTAAGTTGGCCTGCCACTGAGTAGTGCTCCCAGTCTTAATGACAAAGGCAGACACATTCTACTTCACCCAGTGTGGAGATAAGAAAGAAGAAGAAAAAGATAACTGAAGTTCACAATTTCATTATTTATATATTCCAAACACAAAGTACAGAAGCAAAAAAACACCAGGAGAACTTTTTGAGTCCCAATTTCTCTCATGCAGTGATTCCAGCAGGAGGTTTAGAAAAGGCAAACTGAAACCCTTGCCATTTGAGGAGAGATGAGAATGTTTTCCCACTCTGCATCAACTACCTCGTAAACTGATAAGACACAATTTGGATTATAGATTATAAACACAAGGTAATAAGACGAAATCCAAATAAAATAAATAGTATGTGATGTTTCGGTAACAGCGTTGTTACCATCTTCAGACAAAAGTACTGAATGAGAAATTTTACCACAGCATGGTTTAGAGTAACTATTTAAACCATGCTGTGATAAAATTTCTCATTCAGTACTTTGTTGTTGTTGTTTCTTATCCCCTTGTGTAAGATTACACGAATTCCATGAGTTCATGCTCCTCAAGCTGTTTTATGATGAGCAGCGGCCTCTCCCAAAGGTCCTGTTTGGTGCATCTAATGCCAGCCAAAATGTGTTCTGGAGCTGCAGGTACCAAACTACATTTCAGTACTTTTGTCTGAAGATGGTAACAACATTGTTACCGAAACGTCACACACTATTTATTTGGATTTGGTCTTATTACCTTGTGTTTATCTCATAAACTCTGTCTCACCACAACACATCATCGGATCAAATAGAAAAGAAAGAGTTCTTACTAAACCCTAAAGAAGTCTTGAGAAAAGCTAGTTGTGCACAACTTCCAAGAACTGGTGTGGGAACAACTACCAACACTTTAAACAAAAAATTTTCTCAACAACAACAAAAAGGCTTTTATTAGGGCCCATTGCCCTGTATGGATTCGCCATACAACAACAAAACAATACAGCAATTCCTCTCTCTTTCCCCTTGTGCACGCGAGTCTTTGTGTGAAAAGGGATTTATTTAGTCATCTGTTCTAAAACTTTCCTCACTACCTCTTTTGTGCATGAATCTATTTACAATTGATCTGTAGAAATTATAGAGTTCTATTGCTATATTTTTCTTTTCTGAAATAGTTCTCAGCGTCTTTCAGTGGGTTGCTAAGTCTCCAGAAGGTGTTTTTAAGAGTTTTTTTCTCTTTCTTCACCTAAAAATATACAATTATTCTCTTTCAATCTCTTTTTTCAAATCTCCCAACCAAAACAGTACTAACTTAAACCACAAGATGATAAAGCACAATTTGGATTATAGATACAAGAAAATAGACCTAATCCCAATAAATAAATAGTGTGTGACGTTTCGGCAACAGCATTGTCACCATCTTCAGACAAAAGAATAAATGAGAAAAAATATCACAACAAGTTCTTAATAACAGTTAACAATACTATTTAAGAACTTGCTGTGATATTTTTCTCATTTATTCTTTTGTCTGATGATGGTGACAATGCTGTTGCCGAAACGTCACACACTATAAATTATTTGGATTAGGTCTTATTTTCTTGTATTAAACGCAAGGTAATAAGACCAAAACCAAATAAATAGTGGGTGATGTTTTGGTAACACAATTGTTACCATCATCCGAAAGACAAAAGTACTGAATCTCTGTTGATATTATAATGCTGCTACGATATATTATACACACTATTTATTTAGATATTGGTCTTATTACCTTGTGTTTCTAATCTATAATCCAAATTGTACCTTATCATACAACAGAGATAGTCTGGCCTCGTTGTTGTATTGTGCTGTAAAAAACAATATCATACGCAATATATATATAGTCTGGCCTCGTGGAACTCTTGAGTTTGCAGAACAGTAAAGTGCAGTACATTACAGTAAAAGGAAGTTGCTAATGACCCACCATGATTATCATGGCCTGTACCATGTGTACTTGGGATAAGTACATCTCTCTTTTACAGATTTAACTGAACACAAGGTAATAAGATCAAATAAATAAATAGTGTGTGTCGTTTCTGTAACAATGTTGTTATCATCTTTAGACAGTAACTGAATCAAGTTTTTTACCTGATGATGGTAACAACACTGTTACTGAAATGTCACACACTATTTATTTGGATTTGGTCTTATTACCTTGTAGTTATAATCTATAATCAAATTGTCCCTTATCAATTAGCAGAATTGTCTTCTTCTTTTTTATCTCCACTCAATCATATTAAGATATCAAGCTTGTAGAGTTTGAGACTTTTGATGGTGTCTGCTGGGGATGAGTAGAGCTCATCAATGGATGAGTCAATACAGTCAATGATGTGTTTTGTGTAGGTTATCATCTGCATGGATAATAATCTTGTAAGCGTACTACAATAGTCCTAACTGTAATTGTGGTGCATTCTATTTATATCATTTTCAATGAATGCCCAACTCTCTTGAACTGAAAAGCCAGTTATAAATACAAGGTTGTTGTTGTTGTTGTTTCTTATCCCCTTGTGTAAAGATTACACGAATTCCATGAGTTCATGCTCCTCGAGCTGTTTTATGATGAGCAGCGGCCTCTCCCAAAGGTCCTGTTTAGTGCATCTAATGCAAGCCAAAATGTGTTCTGGAGCTGCAGGTACCAAACTACATTTTGGGCAAGTGGGATAAATTTTGTTATTATTTTCTATCTTCAATGGCTTGAGATGGCCTGTTCTAAATCTTGTTAGTGTTGTTTGATGCTGTCTATTTCTGATGTTCAGAGCTCCTCCTGGGTTCACTCCACTGTACCAACTGTGCTTAGGTGGTATCCTCCAGTTCTTGTTTATTTTTGTTTTGGCTATTGTTTCTATTTCTTTAAAAGTAAGTTTATTTTTCTCTAGAAGGGTTCTTTTGTGCCTTTTTTCGCTAGCACATCAGCAGCTTCATTGCCTTCAATGCCAACGTGTGAGGGTATCCATTGAAGGTGAATTTTGAGGTTTTTGAGAGTTTTTGGAGATAACCAATTATGTTCCTGCTTACTTTGTCTCTGAGTTCCCCTGTGTAACTCAAGTGTTGTATGGCACTTCTACT